AAAAAAGCGATTACAACTGTTACAATCTGGTCAACCTTTATAAATAACAAAAAAATCATTAAGGGTTCTCAAGAACTAGGATTCACTTTCATCCACCTACTCACTGTTGCCAGAGAGCTGGCATACAAAAATATAGAGAGACATTAAAAAAAAATCAGGATTAGATTTGTCGGTGAGATTCGACTGAAACCGTCGCGGAGAGTCACGTTATATATATGAGAATGGGGGAAACGGGCCGGCGCATTTACACTAAACTTTTCTGTAAGTAGCGGGCCGCAAAATATCATCTTGCGGGTCACAAATGGCTCGCTGGCCGCGAGTTTGAGAACCCTAAATTAGATTTTTATTTATTACTATTTACGATTATCTCATTTTTATAAAAAGAATGTAAATATTTATATTTTCCCACATCATTTTCGATGTAAGCAGAATGTATGCGGGAACGAATTTCAAAATATCTTAATATTTCATTTTCGGTTTCGGCTTCGGTTTCGGCCGAAATTCATTTTTAACTTTCGGTATTTTTTCGGTTTCGGCCGAAAGTCATTTTTAAACTTTCGGTCTTTTTTCGGTTTCGGCCGAAAGTCATTTTAAACTTTCGGCCTATTTTCGGCTTCGGCCGAAATCAGAAAATCAATTTCGGTCGGTCTCTAACTGGGATGGAACACCCCTCTGCACCCCCTCTCCACGCCATTGCTGCATGGACACACCAGCCGACACACTAGCGGACACACCAGCCGACACACTAGCCGACACACCAGCCGACACACTAGCCGACACGCTTGGGACCATTCAAATGTCTAACTGTTTCATCTTTTTTAAGGCATTTCACATATCGGTGTGACCAGATCTCACCAATTGCTCACTGACCACACCAATAACTCACTGACCTCACCAATCACTCACTGACCTCACCAATTACTCGCTGACCTCACCAATTACTCACTGACCCACCAATTACTTTCTGACCTCACCAATTACTCACTGACCTCACCAATAACTCACGGACCTCACCAATTACTCACTGACCTCACCAATTACTCACTGACCTCACCAATTACTCACTGACCTCACCAATTACTCACTGACCTCACCAATTACTCACTGACCTCACCAATTACTCATTGACCTCACCAATTACTCACTGACCTCACCAATTACTCACTGACCTCACCAGTTACTCACTGATCTCACCAATTATTCACTGACCTCCACACTTACTCACTGACCTCACCAAATACTCACTGACCTCACCAAATACTCACTGACCTCATCACTTACTCACTGACCTCACCAATTACTCACTGACCTCAGGAGACAATCTCTTGGTCGCCTTGTCTAACGGGTCTACCACCTGCCACGTGACCAAGATGACAGCGTCCAGTAAGACAAGGACAAGAACTATAAGCATAAGCTTATAATCTTTGATGACCTGGGGACAATCAGCAGCAGATTTTGAATTGTTAGACTTTTTCTTTTCTATTCGGTTAACTAACACATAGCTCGCATTACGACCTTATAATTTTAACGTGTAAAAAACATACTAATTTAATTACTTGAGATCAACTAAATAACTATATATTTTAAAGTGAAATAAATATTTATAACTATATATTTGAAAGTATTATAAATATTTATAATTAAAGATTGTAAATTAATATGTAAATTTATAACTACACATTTGAAAGTCACATAAATATTTTATAAATATATATATATAAAAATCTTAAAGCCTCCATAACTAAAAATACTCGCCAAAGTTAATTTAAGGAGCGCTTTAAGCAGAGGACGGCTGGGTAAAGTTGCCTACCTTTTTGTTCAGTTTGATGTTGGTAAAGATGGCGTGCACCCTCCAGGTCTTCCCAAACATGGCACCGAAGGACAAGGTAAACCCCAGTGCCAGGCTCCAAGAGCGTGCCTGGAAACATGGGAGGATAAGGTCAAGGTTACGTCTTCAAAAACTCAATCACTAGCGTTAATTTCCTTCCAAGAATTTAAGATTGACACGGTCCATCCATCCATCCATCCATCCATCCATCCATCCATATATATCCATCCATCCATATATATCCATTCATCCCTCCGTCCGTCCGTCCATCTGTCCGTCCATCTGTCCGTCCGTCCATCCATCCATCCATCCATCCATCCATCCATCCATCCATCCATCCATCCATCCATCCATCCATCCATCCATCCATCCATCCATCCATCCATCCATCCATCCATCCATCCATCCATCCATCCATCCATTCATTCATTCAGCGGACTGGTGGGGGTGACGTTTTTTAAATTAAAATTTAAAGATAAAAAAAAAAAAACGCTTTAGGCTCATATTTTATCATCATGATATTTGTTCCTACTTCTGGATATTATAGGATACATTTTGTCATGATGTCAAAGTCGAGCTGTCATTTTGTACGTGTCCACCCGACAGTCAAGCTTGAGATAGATTTGATCTACTCGTGACTTACCCACATCAGTGACCGACACATTTAGAGTACTGAAACCTTTCTTTAATAGAAAGAATGCCTTACATTTCTTACATTGTCTTACATGTCTTACATTGTCTTACATGTCTTACATTGTCTTACATTGTCTTACATTGTCTTAAATTTCGTTACATTGCCTTACATCGCCTTTCATACCATTTTATCAAAAACTAAGAAATGCACAGCATTAGCATAGGATTGATGAGTGAGTGAGTGACTGTGTGTGCGTGTGTGTGTGAGTGAGAGAGAGAGAGAGAGATAGAGGAATAGAGTTTGCGTGTGTGTGTGAGAGAGAGTGTACGCGCGCAGAGGAGGGAATTCCAAGGTCTTGCAATCGGGAAATTTTGTAAAAATTAAAAGAGTGCACAAATAAATTGTCATTCCTTGTGCTATGCAATGTCGAGTATGAGCGTTCATTAGTAATTGTTGCGACTCAATATTATGTTCTTTAGTTGTTAAACGCTTTTCCCGCGCTTGACTATTATAGTTAGTGAACGCTCTTCCCGCCATTGTCTTTATGACGTATTTTTGTGCTGAGTCGTGACGTATTGTCTATGCCGTGTTGTGACGTATGTTTTAGTCGTGCTGGCAGTCTTGAGTGGAACCTTGGAGTGATAGGATGTTTATTATATTTACTTAGATATTAAAGTTATAGTTATTATGAAAAGGAGTTGAGTTTGTTAATTGATAGTTAGAATGGTACGACGCTTCAACGTATGAAAGAACTGACGAATGTAATCAATCCAAGAAGACGTGTAGGAGTTGACATGGGGGCTTCTCGTCCGGGATTGGTGAACCTCGTTATTTTCATACTTGAG